AGGATTTAAAGCTGTGTGTCTGAACCGTTGGGTTTTGGAAGCTGCCTGGTTTCACTATCGTCAGCAATATGGTGCCGTTCACACTCCAGAGCACAAAAGGAATCGACACGTAGCATATCGTCAGTTAGTGAGATGGTGTTGGGGTGTCTTAGGAAAAGAAATTCGAGTGGTTTTGCCTTCATGTGCCGTGATGTGCATCCGCGCTCACTTTCCTCCACCTGGTCTTGAAGATGACTTCGAATTCTCTGGTTTTCACTATCCAGACGAGTAGAATGATCTGAAATAGAATCTGAAATAGAATTGTTCTTACAGTATATTGTTGTTTATTTGTTTGATTCTTTGTATTGCCTATGAAAAATTACACGGTTGTTGTTTCCATTGCAGTATAGTTTCCCCATCAGACCGCCTGGATCTCTAATGATGATTACTTATTACATTACTATGAATGTTCATTGGTTCTTTTTGATTTTATTTATTTTGCAGTTAGCTTGTGATTCGAGAAAAAGCAGATTATCACACTTTATACTTACCAGTCATTTTTTATTTCCTTTTCTCTTTTTTGTCGTTAGATTGCTAAATTTCTCTTTTGGTGGTTCTATGGTTGCAACCTCCTTTGAAATATGTTCAGGTACATGTGTTTTTGATAATGTTTTGTTAGTCTTGTGGGATTCTGCTATTTCATCCATCATGTTGACAAATGAAAATGGCACAATGTTATAATGTTGACATGTATTTTGTTCAGAGCACTGCTATGATAGCATATGTTGTCATAAACATCAATGCTACAAGATTACTATACACCATACTTAATTTACATTGTAACTAGTGTACTAATAAATAAAGTTGATTGATTGATYGATACTTACCATTAGATTGAGATTTTTCCTTTTTCTTTTTGATCATTCGAGATATATGCTTCTTCACGACTTCCTCCTTTGGTGGTCTTTTGACAGTGGCGATGTTCTTTGGAATGTGTTCAGGTACTTGTATTTTTGGCAGTGTTTTCTTATTCTTGTGACATTCAGCTATTTCATCCACCATGATGTTTACAAATGAATATGACTTCTGTGTTAGCACTGGCTTAGCGACCCAGGTTTTTCTTGTCTTTGGAAAAACCACACGATATCGGCCTTCTCCTTTCTTAGTAATTGCTTGTTCTCKATTGCTGTTGTTGTTATGATCAACAATGGCCAGTTGGGTTCTGCCAACCATTCCCTGGTATGAGAAGTGCTTTCTCTTGGGTGCATACTTTAGTAGTAGAGAATGGAAAACTTCCAGATTTCCAGTGTGATGACATTCAGTAAGCTTAACAATGTCCTTTAGAAACTTCTGATTACAGATGACTTCTTCTAGTGCTACGTGAGCAGGTGACCCTGGCCTTAACCAATTAATTTCTTTGCGTTCTCGTCTAGATAGCTTCTGATGCTTGCAAGATACAGTAGTTTTACCTTCTTTCCAGGTATGTTTGTCACAAATATGGTTGGTGATCGACACCCAGTTACTAGCAAGAACTTTGGGGTCTTGGTTACAGGTTTGCACACTCCACCATAAATGATTGTTGATCGATTTAATCCAAGACTCTAGATCTTTATTTGACTTGAGTTTTG